CTTATATAACCGAATCAAGATAACATTACCTCTGTGGTACAAAACCTATTTGGCAACTGGAAATGGATATTCACCTTTGGAGGCAAATGGTACTTGTGTAATTTAGACCAATGCATTCAGAAGGATGTAAAAGTCTGTTTCATTTGTTCCAACAGTTGGAAGGCTATAAAGACAAGAACCATTTTGATTCAGGAATAAACTAAAATCCTTTTGAAAATAAAATGCTTAACTGCACTTCAGGGTCTTTCTGCTTCAAAATGTGATCTCTTTTGCACTTATATGGATGACAGGGATTACTCTAGCATCAGATAAGTCAAAATGAAGAGAGATGAACAATAAGAAGAAATGATATTACTAAGAGAAAAAAAATGAATGAAGACCGGGACTCCTCTCTACTTCATCTATTTCCCCCTCCTCTGTGCCCACCTGAGAACTGACCCTCTCTGCTTAGATAGGGTGTCCCCAAAGTCTTAGTGCATCTTTAAGTGTTCTCAGCTTTTCAAACCCCAGCACCATGCATGGTGACATGTGAAGAGCACTGGCCTCTGTCCCTGACCGCTGTGTCTCTCAGCGTCCATCTGCTCGTCTAAAATGGGGATGAGGATACTTGCACTACCTTCCCTACATGGTTGTTGGGAGGAAATGTCTCTTTAAACTGCAAAATGCTAAGTTGGAGATGAAAACACAATCCATCTAATAAATCTTCATCAAACTGCTCAGTTTGTCCATGGCTAAATATTGTGAGATCAGATTAAGGTGTAAGTCATCTTCATCAGAGTTCTCATGAATATAATTTTTAGATGAATGAGAAACTGCACATGGCTTTCTCCTATAACAAATATGCCAAAACTATCTTTTCTATTTAGAGTATGGAAATTGAGTGATAAACTTGGTTTAACACACACACACTTATCATGCCTGAATTTAGGAAAGTAGAGAAAAACCAGTGAGGGTGCAGAGACAGAAAAAGATAACCAAGTTCTATTTTAAGACTAAGTCAGGGGAAGGAAGAAACTTTCACAGAACAGATACTTTTGGAGAAAATGCAAGCACTCATAAAAAACAGAAGGGACATCTTACAGTATAAGAAATTAATAATCAGGTCAGATGTTGGTCATTAACCCATTCCCAACACCATGTATTTCCTCCAAAACGTTGCTCCTAAAACACAGATGTGATGATGTTAAGCCAATGACCATGACAAATGGACAGCACCCAGAGAAGGGCAGCCAGGAAGGGGAAGGGCCTTGAGTCAGCGTCCCATGGGACTGCTGGAGGGAACAGGGATGCTTAGTTTATAAAAGAGAAAATTCATGGGGACCACGATAGTTGTGGACAAGTATCTGAAGGACTGTCGTGTGGAAAAGGGATTAGATTTAATTCTGTTTGGCCCAGAGAAAATGGGAGAAATGATGGGTAGAAGGTAGCAGGAGGCTTCCAGTCTTTGGAGATCTTCAAGAAAAGTCTGTCCACTTCAGGGGATGGACTGTACTAGAGAGGGACTGAGGCCCCATTCAACTCTGATTCTGTGATCGTGTTACCCTCTCCCTACTCAAAAAAATCCTCAACAGCTCCCTATTGCCTCTAGAAAGGTCTGGCATTGAAAGCCCTCTCAACAGTCTTGCTCTATCTGCCTTTCCAAGTTTTCCATTTCTATTCCTCCTCCATTCTCCCTCGTGCTCTCTCCACTCTGCTAGCTATTCCTTGGACATCAAATTCTATCTCCCTCTTGTGCACCTTTGCATCTGGAAGGGCCCCCACCACGTGTGGATGCCCTCTCTCCTCACTTCTACCTCACAAATTGCCTGAGCGTTCCATTAAAGCCCAATTTTGTCACACCCTTTCCTGACTCTCTGCCCTTCTGGAAACTCCTTTGATGTGTTTCATGTTGACTTATCTGCATCCCCAAGACAGCCCCCTCAGGAGGATGTAAGATCATTGAGGAAAGACACTTTTTATCTTTGAATCTCGACTACCTTGAACAGAGTAGGGTTGAACTGAATTTTAGTTATTCATGACTAAGACCCACGGAAATCATGCAAAAGCTACTTTTATTTCCAAGTGAATAATAAACTAGAGAAGGTTAGGCATTTGAAAAATGAGCTATCATTTTGTTCCAGCCAGTTTCTAAAAGAAATATAATTAGCCAGATAATATAAAGGAAAATCTCATTCAGAATTTGTGATGATCTTACCACATTCTATGTAATTTTTACTGTGAAAAAGCTCAAAATAACTTCTTTGTATAAGAATTTGCCTCGAAGTTAGGGTAATCTAGGCTAAATCAGCTTTTTGAGCTATGACCAGCTCAGAAAATTAAGTATTCTTTCAACTTTAAGATTCAGCAATTAATTCTTAGATATGAAAGGGCATCTAGGCTTATGATCCATCACTGTACTTACTATCTCTGAGTAACTTTGGACAGTTCACAGAACCTCTCCACACTTCAGTTTCCTCACACTTAAAGACTAGATGCTCTGTAAAGTCTTTGCCAGCTTTAAATCTTATAATCTTTTCATAATGCAGGCCTATATTGAACTGCAATTTACTCATCCGCTTCATTTTACTTAGTAGCCCCTCACAGTAGCTTCTACCATGTACTCTGCTCAGCAGCCTAAAGCAGCATTCCTACTTTTATAGGCCATGATTCTGATGTGTGATTAAGTCAGACAGACCTCCCTGCCCACACAAATGAATTAATAAGGTTTTGCTACACTATAAATTTTAGACCTGCCAAAGCAGATTTCTCAGGAGCAAATGATTCCTTCCCACAGCATTTAAGGCTAGAGAGTGGGGGCCAGGGGTGGTTGACCTTTTTTGTATTGTAGACCCTTTGGGTAATCTGGTAGAGTCTATTGCCGGAGCCCCTTCTCAGAGTAAGGTTTCTGAAGGCATAAGAAAACCACCTAGGATGACAAAGGAAACCAATTACATTGAAATAGAGGTATCAAAATATTAAAAAAAAAAAGTGTGTGATTAAAAACTCTCTGTTCTATACACACTGAATCAGAGCAGCACATATTCCTCTGGATTATTTTTTGTGCCATCTGTTCAGGGTCAGTTGGCTAGCCCAATTACTATAGCAGGGTCTGCGTAGGTCAGACGTTGAGGTATATGTGTGTTTATGTATATAGAAACATATATTTCTACAGACATACCACATATATGCATGTATATATACACATGTATACATATATGTGTGTGTATTCGTTCATTATTCATTTAGTGCCTACTGTGTGCCAGGCATATTTGGTCCTCATTTGGTCCTCACAACAACCCTGTGAAGTAAATGCTATTATTATCCTCCTTTTACATTTGACCCCGTGCCTGGGGTCCCACAGGTACTCTGTGGACAGGCCACAAATGATACAGAATGGCTCTTACTGGTGTTCTGCTGCCAGAAGCAGAGTCTAGGTTAGTAATGATCTCAGAATCTCAGGGTAGAAAGAGACGTCGGAGAGCATCTGGCCCATTCTTGGTGGGTTAAGAATCTTCTATCCAGCACCCCTACCAAGCGGTTATCCAACGCTCCCTTGAGAACCCCTCATAAAAAGGAGACCTTGTTTGGAAAACACTCATTGTTAAGAAATGTTTTCTTACATTGAGCTGGATTTGGTCAGCAAACACTGGGACGCCTACTCTGTGCCTAACACTGGGATTAGCTGTCATGGCATGACCTCCCCAGTGAGGACAGAAGCCCTTCTGGGTCGGCAGTGGCCCCACCATTTACACTGTATTCGATAGTCTGTCCTCTCCAGATACTTCCACCAGGATCAGTGCCTCCATCTGCTCTGTCTAGGGGCCCCACTCTTCTGTGGTTGACTGCCCCTCCTGGAACCCTTTCAGGAAAGAAAGTGCCAGGCATGCTATACTTCAGTCCATCCCCACTCCCGTTAGGCCACCTTTTCTACCGTTTCCTTTCCAGTTCGGAAACCATGAACGATAATCAAGTTAATTCTGTCCATATTCCTGTGTACATCAGTAAGCACTTCAATGTGTACTGGAAGAATAACCCACAACTCACATTTGTATAATATTTTAAGGCTTACAAAGTTATACGTGCATTATTATTCCCATTTTACAGATGAAGAAACTGAGGCTGAAAGGCCCATGTTTACACAACCAAAAATGAAAAACCCAAGCCACCAACTCCTCAGTCCAGCACTCCTTCTACCACACCACTAAAGATTTCAGTGACATCTTAGACACCAAGATTCCAGCAGATAACTAGTGACAAGTTTTAAAGAAACAAAACCAACAGGCCATGAAAAAGTACTCAGGACCACTCTTCTCTAACACATAAAGGAAATATCTGCCCAGAAACAAAATGAAGCTGTCAAAACAAAAACAAACATGGCCCATGGAGCACTCTTTGAAAAAGTGCTCACCCTAGTGCCACGTATGATCTTGTTCTAATGGACACTTGTAGAAGATGAACACAGAGAAATGGAGCACACTTTGAGAGAGCATCCTAACATCTGAGTGGGCCCTCGAGTCTGATCACGCACAGGTATGGCTTCTAGGAGGCGATGCATTCTATGAACACAGAAGTAATCTATTCTATGTAAGATAGTAAACCTCCTCAGATTTCACTGCATGGTTCCCTGCATAATTCAGGAAGGGAAAGGGGATGAGCATTTACATGGCACCTACTGTGTGCCAGGCACTGTGCTAAGAGCTTTACAACTATCTCATTTGATCTGCCCAACAACCCTGGGAGGGAGGTGCTGTTATTATCCCCATTTTATAGATCAGAAAACTGAGGCAAACAGAAGTTAAGTGTCTTGCTCAGGGTCACACAGCTACTAAGTGTCTGAAGCTCGATTTGAACTCAGGTCTTCCTGACTCCAGGCCTAGGGCTCTGTCCATTGCACCATCTAAGTGCTTCCATCTATGTATAAGCATAACCAATACTTCATCCAACTAGAGAAAAAGTACTTGATCTAATTAGGATTCTATGAGTAACGAGGCCTAGCCCTAATGTACACATGTATTACCTACCTTCTGCTCTTGCACCTCAAACACAGTTTCATGTACACAACATGCAAAAAGTGAGGTAGGCAGATCACTTAAATCCATCATCTCTTCCAAATCATCCTCATTTTCACCAAAAATCATCTCTTCCTCCTCTTCTTGGTCACTGCTGTAGAGGTCTGACTGGCTATCACTCCAAGACTTCATAGCTTCCCTTAGCATTATCCCCTAAGAGCAGATTTCGTCCTTTTCCGAAGTTCCAGGATGTCAACAAGGCACCTGTTATAAAAGAAACCAGAGATAAGACCAAAGCTCATGCTGGGCACATTCCCTCATGAGAGGTGTTCATAAGCCGAAGCACTTTTATTTAGAAAAGATGAATGGGCCTCCTGCTTACTTCTTAAATCAACTATCTCAACCTTCTACGAATGAATACTATCGATAACTGTTTTTTATTTTCTATACAGATGTCGCACGCAATACATTTCATAGCTGATGAGGGGGAAAAGTCAAAACAATTTTCTAGCATGTGTGAAAAGGCAAATGCACAAAAAGACGTTTTCAATTTGCAAAACTGCCTCAAAGTGATTAGAGGAAAACATGAAACACAATTGTGTCTGCATGTTTGTTTTTCCATTTAACTTCTCGACAACACTGAAAATGGCAAATTGGTAGGTGCCCACATTGACTAATTTGCCATCTGCAGCTGGAAATCTGCTCTCTAGTGGTACAACTGCCTTTTCTTAATTAGTTAGTTCCTTTCAAAGATAAAAAGTAAGCAAAAGTTCTCTATGAATTTAGTCATTACCAGTTCTAAAAATACTGCCTGTAAGTACTGAGAGAAACCAGAGAACATAAAACCTTAAACAAGTACCATTACGGAATTCTAGTAACTGGAAAAATGAAGGAGATTTGGATCAACTCTTTCACCCACCAGGTCCACAGCAGGATTCTATAAAATAGGATTCTCTGAAGAGTTTAACTTTTAGAAACATTAACGGTCATTACCTCTTGAAGTAGTATGCTTTTTAAAAATAAAAAGCAGGCTTAAAAAACCAGAGGAAGCACTGTATTATTATCTTCTTATGACTTTTCAGAGAAGGGGAGTGAGGGGATGCTAACCAGCTGGCACCCAAAGTCAAAGAGGCAAACTGTTTTTCAATGATATGATTTCTCTTTCTAAAGTTCCATCCTAGACAAGTTATGGTATATGAATGTGACAGAACACAATGGTGCTTATTTTTTATCAGCATAATGATGAACCAGGATTCCAGAGGACTAATAATGAAACCTGCCACCTACCTCCTGATACAGAGGTGAAGGACTCAGAAGGCAGAATGAGAGAATTTTTTGGGGGGCCATTGTAGAAATTTGTTTTGATTGACCATACCTGTGTGTAATGAGTTTTGTTTTCTCTTGTGTTCTCAGGTGGAGGAGGGGAAAGATGGGGTTAGAGGGAAGAGAAGGTAGATTTTGGGTGATTAAAGCAAGTAAAATATTTAAAAAAACCCCAAAATTAGAAAATTAAAGTTCCATCCTCTTAGTCCTCCAAAGAAAAAAAAAATCAGAACACAGGAAACAGTACTTCCTGTACCTGAATTTTTTTTTCAGTTTTCATGATGTGATACCTTCATTTCCTGTTTTCTCCCTTTTCATCCGTAAGACTACAGCTAAAACACTTGTCCGCAGTGCTGCTATATTCCTATTAGCTCTATATTCCACTACAGTTTTTTTTCAACCAGTTTTTAAAGTGATTGCACCGAGGTCTGAAGTACTGTATTACTAGTATGGTAGACCAGGAGGATTTAAAGCAGCTGCTGCCCACTTAACACATACATGCAGAACAGAGAGTCTTTGCCTCATCTGAACTGTTTGTTCTACAGCTGAACTCAAATTATCACAAAGAGATTAGTGTCTTGGCAGTGAAGCTGATGTCGCTGCAACAGAGTAATTAACACATACCCCTAAATGATATGTGTAGCTAAAGGACAGGACAAATGAAACCTAAATCTCCAGTCTTCATTTTTTTAAATGCTAGTCAACAAAACAAAATTCAAAGCAACATTTAACCAGGATATCTGGAGTTCCAGCTAACTAATGCCCTCCTCAGTGTCTCAATATGGCATGAAGGTGACCTGCAGTTCTTGAAGGCTGTGCAAGCTCTGGTCAAAGCGTTTTAACTAGGGCAAAGCAACAAGTACTTCGTCCCAAGGCACCAAATTTAAAGGGTGTCAACTTACACTCCTTTACTAGGGTAGAAATAATAAAGCTTAGCATCTAGCTAGTAAGAAGACTTTGTGGCTGGTCTGAATTCTTACTCTATTCTGCAGTCCACCACAAAGCAGACATACTCAATATGGAACCAGCATCTCCATCTCCACCCCATCCCACAACAATTGGGTATTCAGTCCTCTTCCCTTAATTAAGGGAGTGGGTGAGTCATCCTTTTGCTCCCAGAATGGTTTGGGGTATTTGCTCTAGCATAAAAATCCCTAGTCATGGCCAGTCTGGCTGACAAGTCTTAACAGCTAGCCTAGGCTTTAGGGATAGATACGTGCCTGCCTACTAAGTACCAGAATACTAAATTTGTAAAGATTCATTACCAGGAAGTTAGCCAGTAGGGAATTATTTTTTTCTCCAGCCATAGAAACTCACAAAGACAATCAGCTATATTGTGAGGCTATCTACATTGCAGAAGGAATCTATTCTGATGAAAACACAAATCCCTGAAGGTATGAAAATAAAGTCAGCTCTAAAAAAACCAAACCAACATGAATTTCGTTACCCCAAAATATAGTCAATTGTCTTTGTCTGGGAAAAAATATTTCCCTGCTGGCTAACTTTCTGGTAATGAACTTTTACAAATTCAGCTATGCCAGTCCTTGGTAGATAATCAGGATTTCGCATTATTATGTAATGAACATCTTAGCCACATTGGAATTAAGAAATTGGCTCTCTCTCATTAAAGGCAACACAAATATTCCTTGGCATAAATTCTTTCACTGTAGAAGCATGTGAGATTTTTTTTTTGATAGAGCTCACTGTCAAATATTTTCATAAATTCCCACCAACATTCTAACTACAGTCAAATCTGAACAAAAACAGGAGCCAGGCTAAAAACATCAACTGGCTGAAATGACAACCTTATTGGAATAGAAAGAGGGTTGGTCAGCACGCATCAACACTCTGTGAGGGTCAGTGCTAAGCCATGACTACTGGAGCTGTTAACTTTTTCTCTCCCTGACCACGACCAAGACTGAGCTGCTACCAACATTCGGTGCCCTCAAAATACCAACTCAGGAAAGACATCTGGTATCAGCAGCAGAATGGCCTGCAGCTGTCCCTCTAGCTTCAATAAGCAAAGGTCTGCATGGATCAGGGTTTAACAGCCTCTTTCCTGCCAACTGTAGCTAGCAAACTGGAGTTTAGCAAATGGTTCTTCATGAGGACGTGAAATGAGTGAAAAACTCCAGGAAGAATGATCTTCTGTCCTTCTCCAATACTCTGTCTGCCAGAGAAGCCTGACAATCTCAAGGAACACCGTCAAGCTGCTTTATGAAGCTCACCAAACAATCAGTCACACATACTGTCTATGTTAAATTCCCACCAGGAAGATTCCTCCATAATTTAAGTATTTATAAAGGGGCAGTATTTTTTGCTGTTATGTAGATTTGGAACTGGTTATGATTTGACCACATTCTTTTTAAAAGGAATGGGCTTCTGAATCTGGCCCAATTTATCAAAACACAAGTAGAGTTAATGCCCTCACTGGGCTCACATCACCCTTGTTAAGTATGTTCAAAAGGCTACCAAACAAACTGGGATCCTATTTCCAGCTCTACAAAGCACTCTCTGAGTGACCTTGGGAAAATTACTTGACTTTTCTGCGTCTCAATTCTTCATCTGTAAAAAGAAAACCTACTCACAGATGCTGTTGAGTCTGAACAGATTTGAAGGCATTCCACATTCCTCAAAAATACTAAGTCTTGTCAATTTGTGATTCTTCAGAGGTTGCTTATTATACAATCCTCGTGCTTACTCCTCCTACTCCCTTCTCATTTCATCATTTACTGGCAGAAGCTGACTATTTCTAAGAAGCTCTGGGAAAAGGTTTGCTGAGGACAGAAGCTTGTACTACGAGTAAAAAATAAAAATTTCTGCTTTTCTTTGGATTTCATGGGACTCCATGCTATCCCTATACCCCAGGAACACAGATTTATCTAGAATCAGTCCTCACAGGGAAGGTTCCATGCTTCAGTGCGGACGAGGGTAGGGATTTATTTGGCTGTAAGAATAGAAAAATCAATTGTCAAGCAATATGAGGGAAAATACCAAGCTTTTAAGAATTATAGGACTCGAAAGATGTGATATTTACTTATGTCTAGACTCTAGTTCATTTCCCTCAAATATTTCCTCCACTTCCAATTACTGAAGAATCAATCTCAAGACTATCTGCCTTTTGCAAATTATATAAATGTCCTCAAACCCTGCGATTTCCACCCTTTGGGGGGAGGTAAGGAACTCTGTCTACTGCAACTCATTATCTTAGTATTTTTCTTGACAATTGTTCCTAAGGGTTTTTCTTATATCACCCTACTTCTCTAGCCAATCTACAAATTGAATACCTATTTACAAAACTCACAGAAAGCTCACCTCAGATTCAGGAAGATCTGGGTTCAAGTCTGCCTCTGGCATACACATGCTGGCTGTCTGACTCTGGGCAAGTTACAATCTCTCAGCATTCAGGGCAACTTTCTGAACTCTTAAGTGACAGAAAAGGTGTAGCCTTTGAGGGGTAGAGGGAGTGCTCTCATGCAGAAGTTCCCTATACCAATGAAATCACAGGTTCAGATCCTAGATAACTTTTCAATGTCAAGTTATAAATGTCATTTTAAACTTGGGGGGCGAAATGTGATTTTCCTAAAAAGCACTGGGAATCTCTTTCGAAAGAACGTGACAAGGTTTTTGTCAGCAGCACAGTGACAGAACAAAATACGTAGCTGACTACATAGCTAAGGAATAAACGGGCCCCTTGGGTTCATGGGTCTCACACCAAAGGACATCCGAAAATCATCTCCAGACCACTTCAAAGATTTCATCAAATTGAAACTAAACTGAAGAGATGTGATTCACAAACATGTGAATGTAAAATGCTTTTTAATCTCATGTTGTCTAACAACTTAATAAATCAAACTGTAACAGTGGATCACAGATATCTGTAAGAGCCAGTTGCTGCTAAAAACAAAACAACAAGGATGGAATAGTCTTTGAAACTAGTTTAGTCTCAGATGAATGCACCATACTAGTTTGTCTTGGGTAATTTGCAATACAGGATCAATCAGTTTTCTGAACCCCTACAATTTCTGAGAGCTTCTGTTTTGGACAAATGATCTCAAAACTTCCTTCTCCCTGTAACATCCTATATCCTAAGGGCCCTTGCCTCCCCCTCACCAACCCCCCCCATTCTGATATTCTATATTCTATATTCCAAGGTCTCTCTAACCCTCTACATCCTGACGTCTCTTCCAGAGTTTTGCCAGTCTACCTCTCTAAATAACTGGTTTAGGTCTGACATTAGAGGGAACCAATTAGCTGTGTTTATGGGGAAAGAATTCACATTTCACTAAGGGACAATAAAATTTTTTTTTCAAATTCACACTTATATCGTGCTTTAAGGTTTACCAATCACCTTTTCCACAACTAGACAGACAGAATGCAGGCACTGCGGTGCATTGGGAAGAGAACAGGATTAAAAATCAGCCAGCCCCTTCTCTGAAGGTGGGTTCAAATTCTGGCTCCAACACTGACTACAACCTGTATGACTTTAGACAAGACACTTATCAGTTTCCTCATCTAGGAAACTAGTAGTGGGGTTGGTTGATTCTGTTCTGAGGTCCTTTCCAAGTCTTTGTCGATAAGGACATCCATAGATATATGAGGTACCTATACATAGATACAACACAGGTACATGTATGACCTTAAATGTTAGTATTCCCCAGTGTACAGATGGATGGAGATCAAGTCTGTCTAGAGTCACAGAGCTCCTAGGTGCCAGGTTTTCTCACCAGAGCTCTTTCTCCAGGCTGTCTCCTCAAATGGCTTCTCGCTGCCATTCACACGGAAGGAGAAAAGAGTCCTGGAAAGGGGCACCATCGCCCTCTCTGCCCAGGCAGGAAGTCCAGAGTCAAGGAGCACAAGTTCGGGGAAGTTACAGAATCGGCCAAGCGACTGTCACCTGGGCATCTCGGAAGGAAGGCATCTCAGCTAGGGGGCTGTGCTCTTGTTTCAGGCTGGCTTCAAAGCAGACCCGAGCCTGACAATGGCACCGGGCCAGGACTACCTGGCAGGAGGGAGGGAGGTCATCTCTTCTGAGGGACCGCGGGGAGGGCACGATGCTGCCAGGTCGGGGCATCTCCAGGGCTGCAGATGAGGCCTCCCCCTCCCCCTGACCCCGGGCGGGGGGGGTGCCCCCCTCTTCCTGCCCGCCCCCCCGGTTCACAGCATGGGGGGCGGGGAGGAGGATGGGGGACCATTCCCATTATTGGACAGCGGGGGAAACTGAGGCTGGCGGGGGAAGTCTCTTGCCGAGCATGAGAAGGGCTTGCCTGTCGCGGTGTCGTGCGTGTCGCCACTCCACGACCGGCGGGGGCTCGGGATGGGGGCGGGGGTGCAGAAGGCAGGGCCCGGGGCTCCGTGCAGGGGAGGGCGGGGCCGGGAGGCCGCAGCTGTCAGACTCACCGCAAACTCCCGAAGACGCGGGGCCGGCGGGAGGAGGGGGCGCGGGGCCGGAGCCGGAGCCGGAGCGACGGAGGCGGCGGCGGCGCCAGTGCACGGAGCCCCAGAGGCAGCCACGGGCCGCCCGCGCGCCCCCGCGACCTCGCGCGCTCCGGCCCGCGCGCCCCCGCGGCCCGTGCGCGCCCCCGCCTCCCCTCTCTCACTCCTCCCTCTCATTCCCCCTCCCCCCCAACATCTTCTCCCCTCCTCCCCCTAGGGAGAGCCGGGGAGGCCGGCGGAGGGAAGGAGGCGGGAGCAGGACTCAGACCGGAGCAGGAAGCTCTCCCTCCCCCTCTTCTCCAGAGCTCCGCGTGCGCCTGCGCAGGGCTCGCTCGTCCGCTCGTGACCCCTCCCCCCCGGCTGCTTTTCTCCCCTTTCGCCCTCTCCTCCCTATTCCCCGCTCTTCCGTTATCCCCCCTCCCCTTCTCATCCCCTCTTCTCTCTTTCCCCTTCTTTTCTCAATCCTTCTTCATCATTCTCCCTCCTCTCTCCTCTTTTTCCCTCTTCTCATTCCCCTCTCTTCAATTTCCCTTCTCTTTCCTCTTCTCTCCCTCCCCATACCATTTCTCCATCATCCCCTCCTCCTGTAACCCCCCTCTCCCCTTCTCGTTTCCCCTCTACTATTTTCCCCTCCCTTTTCTCTGCTTTCTCCTTCCCTTTCTCTCTATCTTCTTCTCATTCCCCCTCTCCTCTCTTTAATCCTTCCTTTCTCATTCCTCTTCTTCCACCATTCTCTCTTTTCCTTCACCCTCCCGTTTTTCTTCCCTTCTCTTTCCCCCTCTCCTCTCTTTCCCCTACTCTTCCCTCTCTCCTTTCTTTCCCCCTCCTTTCTCATTCCCTCTCTCTTCTCCTCCCTCCCCTACTCATTCCCTCTTTCCCCACCCTTTCTCATTCCCCCTCTACTCTTTCCCCTACTCTTTCTCATTCCCCTTCTCTTTCCTCCTTCTCATTCTCCCTTTCCTATCTTTTCCTGTACTCTTCTCCCTCTCCTTTCTTCCCCCTCCCTTTCTCAATCCCTGTCTCCTCTTTTTCTCCCTCCACTTCTCATTCCTCCTCTCCTTTTTCCCTACTCTTCCCTCTCTCCTTTCTTTCCCCCTCCCTTTCTCCTCTCTTTCTCCCTCCCCTTCTCATTCCTTCTTTCCTTTTTCCCTACTCTTCCCCCTCTCCTTTCTTTTCCCCTCCCTTTCTCCTCTTTCTCCCTCCCCTTCTCATTCCCCCTCTCCTCTTTTTCCCTACTCTTCCCTCCTTTCTTTTCCCCTCCCTTTCTCAATCCCTCTCTATTCTCTTTCGTCCTCCTCTTCTCATTCCCCTTCTCTTCTCTTTTCCTACTCTTCCCTCTCTTTCTCATTCTCTCTCTCCTCTCCTCCCTCTCCTCATTCCCGGCTTCTTCCATTCCCCTCCACCTCACTTTCCCCCTTCTCTCCCTTCATTCTTCTCTCTTCTTTCCCCTTTCCTCTGTCCCCTTCTCTCATTTCCTTCTCCCTTTCCTCCTCGCCCCCCTGAATTCAATCCTTCCATCTACCCCTTACCCCCTCCTTTGGAATTGCTGGAATTAAAGGAGGGAAAAGGGGAGCTGGAAGCGGACCCTCCCCCTTAGTGTTTTTTTTGCGCGTGCTCATTTCTCCCTTTCTGCCCCTCCCTTCTCGGAAAGAGGTGAGGGGAGTGACAGGTTCGAGCCCTCCCTTCTAGCCCCGCGCAGAGAGCATGCGCTCTCCTCTCGTGGCAGGCTGACCCCAAGCTTCGCCTTGTCTTCTCTGTCACGTCCTCTCTCCCTGTCCAGTCCCACCCTAGCCTTAAGGCCCTGGGCCCGAGGGAAAGGGGTTCCCACCCCAGTCTTGCATTTTGCATTTTCCGTAATAGAGAGGTCTCAGAATGGAGAAGGGAGACAGTCATCGGCAGGGAAACTGAGGCACAGCAGCAGAAGGATGGATCCTGGTCTAGTGGTTCCCAGTCGAGTCTTGTAACTGAACCAGAGCGCTGGAGTATAAGTTGGAGAGAGGACTGAGGCTCTGCCATTATAATCACTGTTGAATATAGGCGACTCATGTGCCTCTCTGGACTTCAGTTTCCTCCCGTTAAGCAAACTAGGTAACCTCTAAGGCAGGAGTTCTTAACCTGGGGTCCCCACCCCCAATTTCAGCAGGAAATTTTCACCTTGTATGGGGAGGAGGGTGTACATTCTTGTTTTCACTAATCTCTACCTGAAATTTAGCATTTCCTTCAGTGAAAACTTCTGAGAAAATAAGGCTTCAGCAGGCTGCCAAAAAGGGTCCATGAAACAAGAAGGTTAAGTACCTCTGCTCTAAGGCTCTTTCTAGCTCTCAGATTATGTTTTACCTGCCTCAACATGCTCTTCTAAGCACCCTAACCTAAAAAAAAAAGACCCAAGACTATTCTGACCCTCAGACTGAAATGCAGAAAGCCAGGCATCAGGGGAAGGGCATTGGATTCCCTAAAAATGAAAATTATAGAATAAAATGAAAGATTCAAGACTATTCTAATCAGCCCTCAGACTGAAATGCAGAAAACCAGGCATCAGAAGGGCCTTTGGGTTCTCAGGCATTTCTTGGTCAGGATTTGACTCTGAGAAGAGCCAAGCTGAGCCCCATAGAAAATTTATGAACTCTGTTCTGTTCCAGGGAAGCTCTCCTGTGAGAGGGATCATTGCTCTAATTTCCTCTTGGACAGTTGACCTTAAGCCCCATCTTGACAAGGGAATGGAAGCTCCCGCTGCCTGGGGTGCTTGGAAATTCTGTGTTTTTACCCTTGCTCACTTCAACCCCTCCTTTTGCCCGTCCTTTAACTTCCAAGCACAAAGGATTGTGGTCTTTGAAGGGACTTAAGAGAACCCTCTCTTTTGACAGATCAGGAAACAGACTGGGGGGTGGGGGAGGGGAGGGACATGCCTGGTCTGCAGATTACAACCCTTGATTTCCTTATCTGTTAAGTAGCAGGATTGGACTAAAAGATTATCTCAGAGATCCCTTCCGCTGTAGATCTAAGATCCTAGGAGAATGTAAGATCCTTGAGAGCAAAGTTTCATTTTTTATTTTTATCTCCTGCAGCCCAGCAGGGCACCTGCCCCTCTGTGTCCCCTGCGCCCAGCAGGGTGCCTTGCACACAATAAGTACCTAGCCTGGCTTAAGAGAGGGGAAGTGACTTGTCCAAAGTCACAAAGTAAGTGGCAGAGGCATGACTCCAACCTAGAACTCCTTCGTCAGGCTTTCCTTTGGGGAAAATGAAGGAAAGAAGAAGGAAGGAAGAAAGGAAAAGAGAGAAGAAGGAAGGGAGGAAGGAAAGAAGAGAAGGAGGGAGAGAGGAAGGGAGGGAGGGAAGGAAGAAGGAAGGGAGGGAAGGAAGGAAGAAGGAAAAGAAGGGGAAAAGAAGGAAGGAAGGAAAGGAGAGGAAGGAAGGGAGGGAGGAAAGAAGAGAGGGAAGGAGGAAGGAAGGGAGGAAGAAAAGGAAGGAAGGAAGAAGGAAAGGGAGGGAGGGAAGAAGAAAGGAAGGAAAGGAGAGAGGAAGGAAGGAAGGAAGAGAGGGAGGAAGGAAAGAAGGGAAGGAGGAACTCCAGGCAGCTTGATCTCCTTTCTTACTCGCTGGCCATCCCTACCCCTACTCCTTTTGCTGGGCAATTAGAATCGAACAGCAGAAGGAAGAGAAACTGATACTTCCAGGATCTCTATCTATCCAATGAAAAAAACTGCACCAGGTGGGACAAGCCAGTCCCTGTCCCAGGAAGCTCGAAGAACCGCTGCTCACTGCTCTTGCTTCTCTGGATTTCCAGAAAAATTCTGTCTTGATGTATTTTTCTTTCTCATCAGATCTAAAAGCTGAGGCCTTTTTAATTAGAAGAAAAAATTATTATTATAATCATCATAATGGTTATTATACAATGCTTACTATATGCCAGGCCTTTTACAATTATTGTCTTTGAGCTTCACAACCCTAGGAGTTAGGTGCTATTATTGTCACCATTTTACAGATGAGGAAACTGAGGCAAGCAGTGATGAAGTGACTTGCCCAGGGTCACACAGCTAGTAAGTGTCTGAGGCCGGATTTGAACTGGGGTCTTCCTGACTCCAGGTCCAGCGCTCTATCCACAGCATCATCTAGCTGCCCCTAGGTAGAATTAAATTCCCTAAATGTAGCCAATAAATATTTTTTAGGATTAATTACCCAGTTGCCTCATTTTTTGTTAATAATTCAACTGTTAAAGTAGGAACTACAAAGACCACTTCCGACAGCTCAGGGTCAGGACTTTAATGGGGAAGGGAGGGGAAGGATGGGAGGAGGTCATTTCTTTTCTTCCCTTTCCAAGATTTTATGCCCATAAGGATCGGGAGAGGACCTATGATTTCATCGGTATAGGGCACTCCCTCTGCTCACAAAGATGACACCAGCCCTGCTCCTGACAGTCTTAGAAGTGCCTGGAGCACTGAGGGGTTAAGTCACTTGCCCAGAATCACAAAGTCAGGATGTGTTGAGATTTGAACCCAGGACTGATCCATGACTTGCTCAATCAATTAGGCTTCTCTGGCTGATTTGGGAGCTATCTCCATGTATCTCCTCTTCTCCCTCTCATGAAACTGAAGCCCACAGCTGAGATCAAGTGACTTGCTAAGGTCCCTGAGAAAGGTAAGAATTTGGGTTTTAATGGTGAAAGGGAGGGCAGGGTACACTGTGACAACTGTAGTCCTTCCCTTCTCATTCACACAAGCCCTTCACAAACTGATGCTAGCTTTTCACAAACTTGTTTCCTGTCACTCACCTTTACAAGTCTCTGGGCCTACTTGCCTTTCTTTAGAGCCTGTTCCTTTTTTAAAAAAATTAATTTATTTTTAGCTTTCAACAATCATTTCTGAAATTTTATCCCCCTCCCTCCTATCTCTCTCCCCAAGATGGCGCCCAATCTGATATAGGCTCTACAGATACATTCCTATTAAACATATTTTCACATTAGTGATGTTGTAAAGAAGAATGAGACCAATAGGAGGAACCACAAGAAAGAAGAAACAAAACAAAACAGAAGGGGGAAAGAAGAACAAATAGTATGCTTCCATCTGCATTCAGACTCCACAGTTCTTTGTCTGGATGTGAATAGCATTTTCCATCAGGAGGCCTTTGGACATGTCTTCGATCCTTGCATTGCTGAGAAGAGCTGAGTCCATCAAAGTCAGTCATCACACAACGTGGCTGTTACTGTGTACGACGTTCTCCTGGTTCTGCTCACTTCACTCAGCATCAGACCATACCAGTCTTTCCAGGTTTTTCTGGAGTCAGCCTGTTCATCATTTCTTATAGCACAATAGTATTCCGTTACATTCATATACCACAACTTGCTCAGCCATTCCCCAATGGATGGGCATCCTCTCAATTTCCGATTCTTTGCCACCACAGACAGAGCTGCAGAGCTTGTACTTTAGCCTCCCATTTCCCCCCTCCAAGCCTTTGTATGGGCTGGTCTGAATGCCTAGAGTGCACTCTCTACTCTTAGAATCCTTAGCTTCCTTCAGGGCTCATCTCAGGAACTCTCTCCTAGGAAGCTTTTCTTGATCTCTCCAGTAACTGTGATTGCACTCCCCTCTCAAATTAGCTTCAAATTCCGTTTGAACAAATTTAACAAGGATTTGTTAGCCCACTAGGCGCTCTGAGTAGGGGAGTAACATAGTCAGATCCGTGCTTTAGGAAAATCTCTTTGGCGGTTGAGTGGAGGGTGGATTGGTGTCGGGAATGGGAGTGGGAGTGGAGGCAGGGAGACCAGTTAGGAGGCTGTTGTAATCGTCCAGGCCAGAGATGATGAAGGCCTGAACTAGGGGAGCGACTAGATGGGTAGGGAGATCTATGAGAGATGTGGGAGGGGTAGAAACAACCAGATTTGGGGACAGCTAGGTGGTGCATTGGTAGAGCACAGGCCCTGGAGCCAGGAGGACCTGAGTTCAAATCCGGACTCAGTTCAGATTTGGCAACCAAATGGATCTATAGAGTTAGTGAGGCAGAGCAATGAGGTAAGATTGGTGTCAAGGTGGTACACCTGGGAAATTGAAAGGACAGTATTGCTTTTGCTCTCCCCTACTCAGTAAACTCCAGTAGATAAAACATACACTCCTCTCTTCGACATCTAAAGCTTTTCTTTCAGTCAACAAGCATTTATTAAGCACTTAGTATATGCCAGGCATTGTGAATACAAAGGGGAGGGAGGGAATAAGCTTTTATATAGTGGCTACTACATGCCTACTAAGGTCCTTTTTTTAAAATAAATATTTGATCCTCATAACAACCTTGTGAGGTAGGTAGTATTATTATCCCCATTTTTACAGTTGAGGAAACTAAGGCAGACAGAGGTTAAGTGACTTGTCCAGGGACATACAGCTAGCAAGTGTCTGAGGTCAGAGTTGAAAAACTCCTAAAATTCTTGCTTTATCTTTTCCAGGAATTCTGGTTGAACTTAGACCGAGGGCCCTTGGAACCACCCTGGACTCTGGTGGGTGACCTTTTGTTTTATTTTACTCCAGAACCAGGCATCCACCTCACTTCCTTGCCACCAGTTCTAAACCATATCCCAAGCATTCTAACTCTTTTCTAACTCCCCTCAATGTGTTCCCTTCCCCATTAGTATGTGGGCTGCTTGTTTGTATGTGTATCCCAGTGCCTGCCTATCTATCTATCCATCCATCCATCTATATCTATCTATGTATCTATCTATCCATCTATCCATCCATCCATCTATATCTGTCTATCTATCCATCCATCTATCCATCCGTCCATATCTATCTATCTATCTATCTATCTATCTATCTATCTATCTATCTATCTATCTATCTATCCATCCATCTATCCATCATCCATCCATCCATCCATCCATATCTATCTATCTATCTATCTATCTATCTATCTATCTATCTATCCATCCATCTATATATATCTATTTATCTATCTATCCATCTATCCATCCATCCATCTATATCTATCTATCCATCCATCTATCCATCCGTCCATCTGTATCTATCTGTCTATCTATCTATCTATCTATCTATCTATCATCCATCTATATCTATCTATCTATCCATCCATCTATCCATCTGTCCATCTATATCTATCTGTCTATCTATCTATCTATCTATCTATCCATCCATCTATATCTATCTATCTATCTATCTATCTATCTATCTATCTATCTATCTATCTATCTATTTATCTATCCATCTGTATCTATCGATCTATCTATCAATCCGTCCATCTATATCTATCGATCTATCTATCTCTGTCCTTTATCACTCTATCACTCTATCTCTTTATCATGTATCATTCTCTACCATCTATTTATCTATCTTTCCATCTCTATCCTTTATCACTCTCTACTGTCTATCTATCATTTATCCCTCTCTACCCTCTATCTACGTATCTATGTATCTCTCTATCTTTTATCCCTATCTATCTATCTATCAATCTATCAATCTATCTATCTATCTATCTAATCTATCATTTATCCCTACTGTCCATCCATCCATCCATTCATCTATCTATCTATCTATCTTTCCATCTCTATCCTTTATCACTTTATTATCTATCAATCTATCTTATTATCATTTATCCTTCTCTACCATCTATCTATCCATCTCTATCCTTTATCACTCCCTACTATCTATCAATCTATCTCTATATAATCTATCCCTCTCTACCATCCATCCATCCATCCATCCATCCATCTATCCATCTATCATTTATTACTCTACTGTCTCATCTCTCTATCCATCAAGTTAGCAGAAGGATAGGGTAGGAGGAGGTGAGAATGATAGTGAGTTCTGTTTTGGACATGATAAATTCATGATGCCCCTGGGACATCCATTCCTATATGTCTAGTAGGTAGTTGGTGATATGGACCAGGCATTCAGGATAGATTAGGAGTCTTTCAAGGCTAACCCCTCTACTTGTTCAAGCAATCCCATTCCAACCCACCTCCTCCAACATTGTCCTTTCTGTCATCCCCACTCTTTCACTTTTTTTCAGTCTCTCCCAGTCTACTGGCCTATTTCCTATTCCTTACAGACATACCCATGTCTCCCTCCATCCTTACTTGATCCTTATGTCCCCACTAACCATTGTCCAATATTTTCTGCCCTTTGTAGCAAAATTCCTTGAAAAGGCTTTCTACAACAGGTGCCTTCACCTTCTCTTCTCTTTGTCTTCCCTTATTATAATCCAGCTTCTGAGCTTATTCCACCGAAACTGATCTATCCAAAGGTGCTAATGATCTCTGTTGTCAAATCCAATGGCCTTTTCTTGATCCTTATTCTCAACCTCTCTGCAGCCTTTGGCACGGATGTTCCCTTCTCTCTAGGCTTTTGGGCACCCCTCTCTCCTGGTTTTCCTCCTACCTCTCTGACAGCTCCTTCTCTGTCTCCTTTGCTGGATCCTCCTCAAGATCACACCCTCTAACCACAGGTGTCCCTCAGGGCTCTGTCCTGGTTCTATCTCTTCTCTTTTTCTATACCACTTCACTTGGTGACCTCATGAGCTTCCATGGATTTAATGACCATCTCTATGCTCATAATTCTCAAATCTACCTTTCCTGCCCCAATCTCTCTGCTGATCTCCAATCTCCCATCTCCAACTGCCTTTCAGACGTTTCATACTATATGTTCAGTAGACATTTTAAAGTCAACACATCCAAAACAGAACTCATTACCTTTTCCCCAAGACCCTCTCCACATAATACTTTCCCTATTACCATAGAGGGTAACACCATCCTCCCAGTTCTCCAGGCTTACAACCTAAATATCATCCTGGATCCCTCACTATCTCTCATACACTCACCCCCACCATATACCGTGTTGAGGGCCTGTCCATTTCACCTTTGAACCTCTCTTGAATTCTCCTCCCCACCTCTGATGCTGCCATCACTCTGGCGCAGCCCCTAATCACCTCACACCTGGAGTATTGCGATAGCCTGTTTATTGCTGGGTCTGCCTGCCTCAGGTTTTTCTCCAATCCAGTCCATTCTCCATTCAGCCACTAAAGTGATTTTCCTAAAGTGTAGGTTGGATCATGTTTTCACCACCACCCTCGACTCCCCACTCAATAAACTCCAATGGCTCCCCATCACCTCCAAGATAAATTATAAAATGCTTTGTGTGGCATCCAAAGCCCTTCTTAACTTAGAGCCCCCTCCTACCTTTCCAGTCTTCTTACACCTTACTCCCCAGTACATACTTTTCAATCCAGTGACACGGGCCTCCTGGCTGTTCCAGGAACAAGTCCCTCCATCTCTTGGCTCAGAGCATTTTCTCTGGCTGTCCCCTATAACTGGAATGCTCTCTCTCCTCCTCCACTCCTACTGCCGACTTCCCTGGTTTCCTTTAAGTCCCAACTAAACTCCCACTTCTACAGGAAGCCTTTCCCAACCCTTCATAATTCATAATAGCGCCTACTCCCTGTTAATTATTTCCTACGTATTCTGTACATAGCTTCCACTGTATACATTTGCCCACATGTTATCTCCCCCATTAGATGGTAAGCTCCTTGAGGGCAGGGACTGTCTTTTGCCTCTTTTTGTATCCCCAGCACATAGCACAGTGCTTGGCCCATAGTAGGTGCTCAATAAATGTTTATTGATGAATTAAAGCAAACAAGCAAAGCCTGCCCTCCAGCCCCCTCCCTTGCTTAAATGCATGTGTAAACGCTAGCATACACTAGTGAGAGAGGCAGCAAAGCTGAAGACTTGGAGGGCAGAGTTGGTCTCCATGCCAGGAGGACCTGGGTTTAAATCCTGCTTCTAAACCACATGCGGCTCTGGGCCCAAGGTGTCAACCAGATTAAAAATGTAACTGGGGAAAAATGTAACAAAATAAATAAAAATGCAATAAAACATAGATAATGTTATGATGTGGTTTTCTAAGTCAGTCTGCAGCTATGGGGATCCTTATGCAGGGGACAGTGGCCCCCACTTTCTCTTAGAATTTGACAACACTGCTGTAGGCAGCTCTCTAAGAGTGTAAATTATGGAGAAGATTCAAATCTGCATTGGTGGAGTCAGTTTCCTTGCCCAGGAGCTCCTTCTGAGAATGAAGTTACAGTTTCAGGGTCCCTAGCCCAGTCTCTACGTGCTTTTAACAGGGCCGTTGTTGTTCTCAACGAGGACTGTGAAGTCAGGAAGGTGATGCCGTGACTTGAAGGTGAATTGGATTTAAGTGAGGGAGGGCTGTGCAAAGTCACCAGTCTCACTTTCTCCTTCTGAGTCATCTGGGTCTGGGGGCCAGATATAGATCAGGAGGACTGGAGATGGCCCCCAACAGGGCAGTTGTGTCAAACTCGAATAGAAACAGGGGCCACTAAACCATACCTAAGGATTCTGTGGTCCACATATTGACTTAGAAAACCACATGCTATATATTTTTTTAAATTATTAATTTTTAAATTAATAAATTAATATTTCTTTTAAAAATTAAATTAAAGCATCAACATATTAAATCATATTGGAATGGCATTTTAATTTGGTTTGGCATGAGCTGTGTGTTTGACATCTGAAGTGTAGGGGAAACAGCAAAAACAGTCCTCCCCTGGCTTGGAAGTTGGGAGACCTCAGTTTACATCCCTTCTCTACTATTAACTGGAGTGGGAGGATGTGTCCCACTTTGGGACTTGTTTCCTTTTTCTGTAAAATAAACAGGTTGGATTAGATGAACCCTAGGGCCCCTTCTGGTTCTGACACTCTAAGCTCCCTGCAGGCACTAATATTCCATCTTCTTAGGCTTCTTCCAGGTCTATGACTCAATGGCTTCTTCTTAGAAATAGATTTAATCCTCTTGTTCATGGCTAGATGGCAGATGTCTAGGCTGCTGGGAACATGGAATCACAAGACTCGCCCAGTCAGTCAATTAACAACAAATTACATCACCTTTCCCTTTTTCACCTATATATTTTATTCAGTCTAGGAATATACCTCCCTTTCCTTTTCCAGATGAAGGGGCAGAGCAGGCCATGGACCTAAATGCAGAATTTCTGTGCCATGCCTCAGAAATCTGAAACTCACTCCAGCCTTGGAATAAACACATTGGAAGTCCCCACAGCGCCGGTGAACTCTCCCTTAGACTGGATGGCTCCTTCCATAATCCCTATTTAACTATGGAGGGTGCCCAGACCAGCCATACTTTCATTTCTCTCCAGGCTACACTCCAGACTTTCTCTACCCCACTCTCACCCCATGACAAGTACTTTCATCCCTCTTCCCCCTTTTTAAGCGTCCCTTTCTGTGCAGTCTTCCCCCATTAGAGTGTAAGCTACTTGAGGGCTTACATTTGTATCCCCAGTGCTTAGCACAGAACTTGACACACTAAATACTTACTGATAGTAAAAGAAAATATATAATAAAATATCTAGAGGGTATTTGGCTCAAATAGGGGGAAAAAGGGCTTTATGCTCTTCTTGATCCAAAGTTAACAGACGTCACTCATGCTATCCTGTCTCTAGATAATCCAAGGAATGCCATACCAAACTTGAAGATGAATAATTGAAGCATATTATCGAATGATTTTATTATTATATTTCTTATATATCAATTTGTAAAGTTACTCTCAACCAGTGGACACATATACATTTAAAAAGAAAAGCAACATGCAGCATCAGATTGGTGAAACGAACAAAATATCGCGGTGCGCAAATGGTACATACTGGAAGGCAGTGAGGTCCATGATTCCCAGAGAACCCCAAGGTCCCATTCTGAACTTCAGCCAGTGTTGAACCAGATTTGTTCAGAAGCTTAAAGCAAAGAGGGCATATCATACACGCGCTGTTGTATCCCCACACTGAACAGCAAAGTACTTGGCTTCCAGAAGAGAAACCGATGGATGCGTCTCCCTGTCCTTTGTCCTAGCGGCTTTCAACTCCAGGGCCGGGGGTGAGGGTGAGGGTGGGGGTAGCTGAGCTGATGTGCAAGCCAACGTGGTGGCTCCTGTTAGGACAGTTCTGCTGGCACTGTCCAGTATGTGCATGGACCTTCATCTATCATTAAAACCTGTAGTGGCCAAACTTGGAAGACCATATTGTTTTTAAATAACAAATTTTATTGATATATTTTGTTTTTATGTCACCTAGATTTCCCCCTGTATCCTTCTCCTTCCTAGAAAGTCATCCAGTATAACAAAGAATATTTCTGAAGAAAAAAATCAGCAAAATCATTCAATACATTGAAAAAATTGAACAGTATGTGCACTATGCCACACTCAAAGACCCTCCCTCCCTCCACCTGTGATGGAAGAGGAGACATCTTCTCATATCCCTTCTTCTGGGCCCCATTTGTCCTTTGTAATTTCATTTTTAAGTATTCTCCATTTGTCATTTTTGAGTGTTTTATGGTTATTCTTCCATTCCCACTGTGGTCGCCATTGTATATAGTGTTTTCTTGGCTTGGCTTACTTCACTCTGCATCATTTCATGTAAGTCTTCTCATACTTTTCTGTATTCCTTCATACGTGTCACTTATTATAGCACCACAATAATCCATTACAGAAAGACTTCATTCGAATTTCTAAGCACAAAATTCTTCCGCATCTCAGTCTCCTTCCCCTTTATTCTCCTACTTCCAATCCCACCCCCACCCCACTCCCCCCAGGAGGGTATATGGTGGTGGTGGGGACAGCAGTGAAGAAATGTTCAAAAGCATGTCCCAATCAATCAGTAAACATTTATTAAGTGCCTACTATGTGCTAAGCCATGGCCCACGGCCTCATTCTGTGTACTGAGTTGCTGACAGGGAGGAGATTTGAGTCCTAATGTGCTAGGAGCTGGCGAGAAGGAGGAGAGGATCAATTGGGAGAGTGGATGCTTTTTTTTTCAGAGGCAGCAGGCTGTAGGTATGGAATCACTACATATACTGTCAGACTCAGGAGTGGGGTCAGTTAAGTTTGCTGAACTTTTTTTCCCCTTTCTTTTTTCTTTGTTACAGGGGATGGCTCTCTGGGTAGAGGAAGGCAAAGAGGTACTTTTAGAAAGGAAAGTGATGCAAAAAAACCCCAATAAAATAAAATACAAGGAGGAAGGTTGAGGAAGCAATGAAAGGAAAGCCAGATGAGGCTGCTGGGCTGGTCACCAGCCTGCTGATGGTGGCCCCTCCCCAGAAGCAGGCGATCCTTGTTTGATAGCAACAAGTGGGCTGTTTACTCAGTAGTCACACCACTCACTTCCCAGGGTCCCTGTGAAGAAAGTGTGTTGTAAGCCTGATGGTGCTATGACACTCAAGTCACTATTATTAAAAGACAAAGGAATGGGGCATATACTGTGTATAAACTTGCAATGATCGGTTGGGTTTCATAGGCTTCACAGAACACTTCCTGAGCACTCCCCTTCAGGTTGGGCCTCTCACTTAGCTAGGATTAGGCTGGAGGCGTGCCCAGATTCTGGGTTCTCCAGAAAGCAACAGCAGGAATAGCACAAACTGGGATGCAAGAGCCTGGGCTCTCATCTCAGCTTTGCTACAAGCTTCCTGCATGAGTCATTTCCCTGCTTCAGGTCTCAGCTTCCTCATCTGTAAAATGGAGTTGGACTAGATGATTTCTTAGGTTTCTTCTAGCTCTGGCATCCTATATTCTAAGGGCCCTCTCAGCTCTGACCTCCTGGGTTCTAAGGGCCCTCCCAGCTCTGGCATCCTATATTCTAAGGGCCCTCTCAGCTCTGACCTCCTGGGTTCTAAGGGCCCTCCCAGCTCTGACCTCCTGGGTTCTAAGGGCCCTCCCAGCTCTGACCTCCTGGTTCTAAGGGCCCTCCCAGCTCTGACCTCCTGGTTCTAAGGGCCCTCCCAGCTCTGGCATCCTATATTCTAAGGGCCCTCTCAGCTCTGACCTCCTGGGTTCTAAGGGCCCTCCCAGCTCTGACCTCCTGTGTCTAAGGGCCCTCCCAGCTCTGACCTCCTGGTTCTAAGGGCCCTCCCAGCTCTGACCTCCTGGGTTCTAAGGGCCCTCCCAGCTCTGACATCCTGGGTTCTAAGGGCCCTCCCAGCTCTGACCTCCTGGGTTCTAAGGGCCCTCCCAGCTCTGACATTCTGTGTTCTAAAGTCCCTCCCAGCCCTGACATCCTGTGTCCTAAGGGCCCTCCCAGCTGACCTCCTGGTTCTAAGGGCCCTCCCAGCTCTGACTCCTGTTCTAAGGGCCCTCCAGCTCTGACCTCCTGTTCTAAGGGCCTTCCCAGCTCTGACATTCTGTGTTCTAAAGTCCCTCCCAGCCCTGACATCCTGTGTCCTAAGGCCCTCCCAGCTCTGACTCCTGGTTCTAAGGGCCCTCCCAGCTCTGACCTCCTGGTTCTAAGGGCCCTCCAGCTCTGACCTCCTGGGTTCTAAGGGCCCTCCCAGCTCTGACATTCTGTGTTCTAAGCCCTCCCACCCTGACATCCTGTGTCCTAAGGGCCCTCCCAGCTGACCTCCTGGTTCTAAGGGCCCTCCCAGCTCTGACCTCCTGGTTCTAAGGGCCCTCCTAGCTCTGACCTCCTGGGTTCTAAGGGCCCTCCCAGCTCTGACATTCTGTGTTCTAAGGGCCCTCCCAGCTCTGACATCCTGTTCTAAGGGCCCTCCCAGCTCTGACCTCCTGTGTTCTAAGGGCCCTCCCAGCTCTGACATGTTCTGTTCTAAGGTCCTTTCCAGCTCTGACATTCTACTGTTACTCTCCCCACTCTGTCTCCCCTTGAAGACTCAAGGCTTGCTTTGCTTTACACTAGGGTTACCTTTAGTCCATTATCAAATTTGGTCCTTATAGAAACATCCCAAGGAAAAACATTTGACACTCACTCACTTCACTTTATTCATAGCCCACAGTCTGTGAAGATACTGGGGCGATGGTACTAAGTTGGTGTCAAGTACAGCCCATCAGAACGAACGTTGGAAGGACCCTAGCCTCTTCACACCGTTATCTGACCTTGCAGTGCTGGGTGGCCACAGGGAGAAGTGAGGGTGTTTCTAAGCTGGGGTGGAAAGAACACCATAGATTATATGATGATTATTGATCTTAGCTAAGAAATTCTGAGCAAGAAGCATTCATTTGACCTTGCTGAGCCAGCTGTGGTGGAGGGGGTTGGGGGTGGGGAAGATCATCAGCATGAAACTCATGAGGAAAGAGTTTTAGGCCTGGCTTTCCCAAGAGGCTGTTGTCTGAGCCTGGGCAAGTCTTCAAGCTTCAGTTTCCTCTTCTGTAAAACAAGGGTCTTGGATTCTTTACTCTCTGAGGTCACTTCCAGCTGGGGTCTTTGGTCTTCTAGGGCCCCTTCTAACCCCTACATTCCTGGGACCCTAGATCTAGAACCAGAAGGGACCTCAGAGGCTACCTCATTTTACAGATGAAGAAACTGAGGTTCAGGGAGATGAAATGACTTGTTCAAGGTCATACAGGCAGTAAGAATCAGCCATGGAATTTGAATCCAGGTCCTCTATCCTAAAGCTCTTCTCCTTCCAAAATTCTGTTTTAAGGTCCCTTCCAGCTCTGACATTCTAGGATTTTATTATAATCAGTGTTCAAGGCTCCCTTGGTTTATATAAATATGCCTATTCTCCAAATCCTTAAAAAGAAATCTATACAAGATCAAGGGGAAATCACTCCACACACACACACACACACACACACACACACACACACACGGTGGGAATATATTGCTTGACCCCTCCAGAGAATGTTTCCATTTCTGAAGTAGGTCTGTGTGGGCATGGGGTACCCTGTGACACGTAACTCAATTGATGCCTATCCCGTTCAAGGAAAAATGCCAACAGGCTGAAGTTTAGCTTATGAGTCTCAAAATCTCAGTGCAGGAGGAGGTAATGAGCAATTCTGTTTCCCAAATGAACACCAGGTCTCAGCCAAGGAATGAACAAATAAATCCCTATTTTTGGAGCGTGTAGGGAAGCTCCATAAGCAATACTACTGCTGCCCTTGTTTATAATGGTTACATGTAGTGCAGGGAGTTCCCCCATCAATTTGATAAGCTTACCAGAAGCTGTGCTTTTGGGTGGGACTGGGTCTAAGTGTTGTTCCCTAAGCAAACCCCAGCTACAGGGTTCCTTTTAGGCTGAAGAAGACCTATCTTTGTCCTGATTTCATAAGCTCTAACAAGTAACTACAAAATGCTTCTGTATAACCCCTTTTCCCCCGGGGCCCACCACTTTGCAACCACGTGGTCTGTTAGCTACTTCTGGGTGCTAACCAGTCTTTGCCTTGGAGCAAGGTGAATCTTCCTTTTTCGTAGGCGTCATTTGCTTCAAATGTTAATTAATAAACTCTCATCATTATGTCCGAATGTGTGGGAATCCTGGTTTCTGCAGCATAAAATTGGCCACACTCTGGTTTGTGTTGTGAGTATACTTTTCATGTATACTATCAGAACTGGTACAGGTGGAAAGGGAGGCTAATTGGGTCAGGGAGCCAAAAGGGGGTATGAAATGGGCCTTGGCATTAGGAACATATGGGGTAGATGGAAAGATACAAGCAACAACCCCACAAGATTGCAGGCAGGACCCACCCAGATGAACCCAGAGATCCAGAGTTTCAAAGACAGTCTCTGATTCATCTCGTCGACTGACTTTCTCTCCGACATCTAGCTATGGCAAAGCTATTGCTCAGCTGCTGGCTTCCCAGCTCCTAAATTTGGGGGAAAAAAATCATAAAGCTATTTGTGGCACAAAGTAAGTTTCAGATCCAGATGGATACCAGATCCAAATTTAGAGACAATGGTGTTGCTTTCCACCGGAGGGAATATTTGTGACCCTAGGAACACACAGTTGGGTCCACTAGCCTGTCACCTATCTTGTGTTTTACATTTCATCTACATAAATTACAGACTGCCCAATCAAAGATTTTATCCGGTGTGCTGGGCCACAGTAACCTGTCATTATACAGAACTGATCACAAACAGATAATTGAGAGGGATATTTGGAGACTGGTCATGCACTCAGGGTAGGACAAGAGCAGAAGTAAGGATCTCAGCCCCAGAGGTCTGACACTTTCATTGTATGTCTCAACCTTGGCCAGGAGGCTTCTGTTCACTTTCAATCAATGACATTTATTAAGCACCTACTATGTGCCAGGCATTGTGCTAAGCACTGGAAGTAAGTAGAACGCAGTAATCTTTCACCATTTATTTAGGCAGATGCATAACCATCATGTAAGATGCGAGATCCTTGAAGGAAAAAAAAAACCACACAGCTGATGTGTGTTCCTTATTGCATACCCAAAATACTGTGTTTAGTTTAGTTTGTTTTGTTTTGGTTTTGCCTTTTTCTGTGCTACGGTTCAAACACAGAAGACCAATACAATTTGCTGTTGGTTTAAGACAAATGACTTCCGAGTTCCTGGCTCTGCCAAGTTCTCTAGTTGAAAAACAAAAAAACAAAAAACTTGGAAAAGCAAGTTTAAGCCCGGAGTTTTAAGCTGTGGTCAGCTCAGCTCTAACAGACTGGAAAGCCCAGGTAATAAATAAACAAAGCCCTCCCGAGTGCGCAGGGCTGAATTTCAGTTTCTTTCAAGGTCTTACTCATTCCCTCTTTGTGTGTTCCAGAACTCGGTAGGGAGGCGCAGAGATGGCCCTAGAGCCATGTTCCTCTTGCATGACGGGCAGTGTGGCAGGAGTGTAGATCTCAGAAACATTGTCATTGTTTTCCAGGGCGCCATAGGAAAAAGAAGCTTTGAGGTCTGGTTGGACGGTCATTCCTTTGTCATGTATATCCTGCATACCTGAAAAGAAGCCCGTTTGTTTTTTTTTCCAAAAGAGGATTGTAATATTGGGGTGGGTGGGGGGAATGGGAAGACATCTTCACCCCAGCCACTGGCTAATTAGAGAACTAATCATGTACACTGTCAATTTCCTGAGAGCTTTGGATTTTCAAGGGAACACCTATAAAGGCAGCCTTTGAAAATTATAGTTGCTTAGCAACAGTAGAATGAATCTTTCAGGAATTATGCATAAAGACGAGCCACGGTCAAAAGAAGCCACGAGCAGGCACCAAATGCAAAGGTTTGTCTGCTTTGGCATAAAATGACCTTGGAAACAGGACAGTACCCTGCACACAGTAGGTGCTCAAGAAACGAATGTTGAGCAAAAGCAGATGAGGAGCATTCTTAAGTGGGAAGACTGCTGCCCCTGCAGTCAAATCCTGCCCCTGACACTTATTAGGAAGAGTGGTGGGAAAAGGACTGGAGTCAGAAAGACCCAAGTTCAAATCTCAGAAGCAAACCAGCTGAGTGACCCTAAGCAAGTCACTTCACTTATCTCAGCCTCAGTTTCTCCATGTGTAAAATGGGAAAAACAATAGCATCTACCTCACAGGGTTAGGAGCAGAGGTGTGCTGGAGCCAGCCAGAATTGGCTGGTGAGAGTTGATTGTTAAATTTTTGGTGTAAGCATTTTTCCTTTGGAAATTGGGAAATGCTGCAAATTAGGGCTTGGTTTTATTGTTTGCTGGTTGATTAGACTTAAGAAAGTGAAGGAAAAAATATTAATGATGCAGGTTAAACTTAAAAATATGTTGTGCATATGTTTTTTTTTTTCAGAGAGCCAATCGTTAAACATTTACCAGGACTCCCCTGGCTGTGAAGATTAAATGAGACTGT